TGATGACGATGATGACGAATCGGATGCAATGTGAAATAATCACATCAATTTCGACGGAAATTTCAACACGCAACAAACGCTAAATATTTTTAAATGTGAAAAAAATTGTACGTTTGTTGACATTTTTCTTGTTGTTGTCGTCAAAATATACAACAAAAACATTCATCCGATGTAGATAAAATTACATGGAATAGACAGATTGATTTCCTCGAAATATTTATATATTGATAATGATGCCCCTCTCTCTCTCTCTCTTGCATTTTTATTTGTAGTAGTTGTGGAAAGAGGTAATGGGTATAATAATATGATATTTTAAAAGAATCAGATATACAAAATGATCCTTATTTTTGTTATTGATAGTGCTATGTTGTCTTTATCTGGGTCAAGTTTAATCCATTGATTCATTATAAACAATTTGATTCTAGAAAAAAAAATATAACTGGTTACAACCAGAGAAGAGAGAGAGAGGGAGAGAAATAATCAGTGTGTGTGTGTGTGTGTGTGTGTTGTTGCCATTTTGGATAAATGGATGAATAGATTTTGTTTGATTGATTGAAAGCGATGAAATATAGTGAAACAACATTCGTTTTTCATAGCTTTCCGAAGAAAAAAAAATAATGATAATAATAACAAATGTTTAAATGTTTGTCATCAAAACAACGATAAACACGTTGAATGTTTTTTTTTATTCGTTCGAAGATCATGATCATTAACATTCATTTGAACATTGCTTGCAAAAAAAAAAAAAATACGAATAACCAAATCCAAATCAGAATCATACAAGCATAATAATCATTCGAATTTGAATATATCAAGAATCCTTCAATGCCTGTTTTGACTTTGTTTGTTTAGTCTAGCCAATGTTGTCGTCGTGGCAGCCATCTTATCAAGGACAATCAAAATCATAATCATCATTCTATAACCAATAATAATGATTTTTTTCTTTTTAGGCTACAATTTCCATTGAATCAAACATGGCGCCATCATCATCATCATCATCATCACCTCATGTTTGATCTATTCTTGATGTTTATTCTTTCAAAAAAGTTGGATTATTGCCTATATTTCTAGATGTCTATATTTGGATAATTCTATATATTGAGGATCGATAATCCTATGGTCTGGTTATCCTCATATTTTTTTTGTAGACATTTGAAATATGACGAATATAGTTTTTTACTATTGCTGTTATTGTTGGCCACCAGAAATAAAGAATAAAGCTAATCAAATTAGAATGAGAATCCAAGTGTATATTGCCTTCTTTCCACCACCACCACCATCATCATCATCATCATCATCAGCATCATGGTCATGTCTAGACAGACATGGCAAATGTTTCCGCCACCCACGGCATCATCATCAATGAAATGCCCTGGTCCCACAGCAACAGAAAAACAAAACAAAATAACGTTCCTTTTCAAAAAAAACGAGAATGGCACGCATGACAATTGACCCACAATTGATGGAATAATGGCAGAATGTTGATATCATCATTTCTATATACAGAATAGAATAGAATTGAATGGCTAGATGGTTGGATCGTTAATTTGGTTTGGTTCAATGTTCGAATCATCGAGGGTGGGGGTGTGGTAGTTGTGTGTTGATGAAGGTTTTGTTGTTGTTGTTGATGATTCCCACCCCTCTTCATTCATCATTCATTTTCGTTGGACCATTTTTTGTTTTTTATTTCTTTCCAATAATCATTTCGTCAATAACGCCGGTATCTGGTGTGTATGTTTGTGTGTGTGTGCGTGTAACTGTCTGGTAACAAAACAACAGCAAAAATTCATTTTCTTTATATTCAAACACATAACACATAGTGAGAGAAAACTTTGGTTGCCGAGGACAAGGACGATTCTGTCGAGTTTTTTATTCGATTTGCGCATATCCATAAGACCCAGCAACAACAACAACAACAGAATTTGATGGCGCCGATGCTTTTGATTGGAGCATTTGTTGTTGCTGTGCAGATCTAAACTAAACCAAAAAAAAAAAAAATGTTTGCAACAAAATAAAATGTGGGTGCAGCAATTGCCAGATCTAGGGTCCATATAATGATGATGATAATGGGAAGGCCATATATGAAAATCCCAGGCTCTTGACAGTTTGTTGATTGTTTGTGAGTGTGTGTGATATAATCATAATAAATTATATTAATCAAACGTCAACCCAATACAACGCACAAACACAGACACAGACAGATATTATACACACATAAAGAATCTACAAATAGAATCTATGAGAAATTCTCTTTTTCAATTTCTTATGATTTTTCTCCAATTATTCGATATACAACGTAGAAATGTCCGTATACAATTAACCGATAATTCATTTCTGGGATCAAACCAGATGATGAACATAGAACTGGATCAATTTTTTCTACATACACACAAAAAGCTGGAGAATAATCCTGAACGAAAGAAAGAAAAAAAATTGAAATTTTACGCGCATTGAAATTCGGATACCCGAGATAGTTGTCGTATAAAAGTCGAATAAAATTGATCCATCAAGTGAGAGAGACGGAAAAAACCGGGCTAAAATATATATAAAGAAAATGAAAAAAAGAATATTATTATTTTATCCCAAAAAAATGACAATCTCTCTCTCACTCTTTCTCTTTCAAGCACACATTTTAATACGAATCTTGTGATCTTGAGTACACCTATATTTCCACCTACCTCATATATACAAATGCCATCCATTATTTTAAAAAATTTATAATTTATAGAAATGTTATCATGCGTGTGATGATGTAATGATAATGATGAATATAATTATTATTTGATGATGATTATCATTGCTTAAAATACAAATGTGGGATGCTTTTTCAGAAAACAAAGCAATCGAATCATCATCATCATCATCATCAAATGAATTATATAACCAACCAACATACACGCGTGCGTTGATAAGATCAATATCTTAATTACACGTGAATGGAAAAAATTGTTGTTTAGAAATTGGAAAAAAAACTTCCAGGTCAATTGATTGTAATGAAAATTTTTCATATCCAATAAAATCTATTAAGAATTGAAATGTATTTGTCTTACAAATCAACCAATCGATTAATTAATAATTGAATTTTTAACAATCATTATCAATATATGATGATTTCCTGTTCCTTTTTTTTCTAGATGGAAAAGTGTATGTTTATAAACGAAAAATTATATCATTCTGATGATTATCATCAGGTAAGAAATGTTTATTTTTATGTTTGTGTATGAGTAAACAATGTCTATATTTAGACACATTATCTTTATTCAGATATACATTCATTCATGTATATATTCATTTATGAATTATTCAGAAAATTCAAAACACACAGCATATATGGTGTGGCCGAAAAATCAAGAGTCAAAAAAAAGTGACAGAGAGTAGTGGCCATACATTGATAATGTATCATTTCCGGTGATGAATGAAAGTAAACACTTTCTATCCTTTTTGTGTATAAATATGGAATTTTTTTCAAAAAAAAAAAAAATAAAATAAAATTGATTCATAATTTTTTAATTAATAATTTTGTTAGTTCATTGATAATGACAAATGATGATGGTGATAATAATTACAGATTATCGAAATTGATCGATCAGAGATTATCAAAAAAAAAAGAAGATAAATCCACTGTGGCAAAAAAAAAATTTTTTTTGAAATTTTTTTTTCACCATTTTTCCGGATGATTTATTTTCAATTTAAATCATCTGTCTGTGTGATCGAGTGAGTGTTTTCAATCCACTTAATCCAATTTTAAATATCATCAACATTGAACCAAAAGATTAATGGTTGACGATAATTCAACCATGAGGATTATATATGCGAGCAAAGAAAATTATTATTTCTTTGAACATTTTCATCAATTCTAAACAATTTGTCGAAAACATGACGAATGATGAATTTAATCATCATTTGGACTTATTATGAAAAAAAGAATATAATCATTAAATGAAAAAAAACTAAAGTGAAAGAAAAATTTTTGATTGAAAATTATTAATCGCGATGAAAAGAAGAAGGTGGCTGTCGATGATGGTTCTCGATGATATATTTATTTTTTTTCTTGCTTTCTACTATGTTTGTGTTTAAAATAAATAATTATTAGATTTAAAAAAAACAAGTTCAACAAACAAAAACAACACACATTTATGGACCTTTTGGGCTTGTTATTTTGTCTAAAATCTGAGATTATAATTATCACCATTTGAACATTGTGTTCGAATGGTGTATGAATTTGGTGGTGGTTATATAATCCATCTTTATTTTTGTTTTGACGCCTAAAATTTTCATCGCTTCAAGCATCATTCTCACATCACCATCATTGGAAAATTTTTCAACGATTAAAGTTTGGCTAGAAAAAAAATTTAATTTTTTTTTTCTTTTTGAACAAAAATCATCATGTTGATAATGTTTAAACCAACATGGGTCAATGATGATGATGATGATGATAATCAATTCATGATGATGATTATTATTATGATGATCGATAATAATAATAATCGGGTTTTGATCGATTGATCGATCAATCAATTTCTGTTATGATATGTTTAGGGTGCTTGCTTGCTTACTGCTATACTATAGAGAGTGTTATAATGATGATTCAGATTCAGATTTACTTCTTCTTCTACTTCTGGTCGTCGTCAATGGTTTTTCTTCTGCTGATCATACATCTGGATTATCGAGTATTGACTTTTTGAAGAGGGATTCTTTCTATCTCTCTCTCTCTGTCTTGTTGATTTTCTTTTTCTTTTGTTTGACATCATTTATATATGATGAATATGACAATCATATACTTTAGTAGTTTTTATTGTGGATAGCCATAAGATTGAAATTTCTTATTTTTTTTCTCAAGAATTTGATGTTTTTAACAAATTTCTTATCTTTTCTGCTGATGTAATTGAAAACAAAATCTCTCTCTCTCTCTCTCTTCACTTGAATTGAATTTAATTCTCATTTTTATTCATTATTTTTTTCTTACACAGGCAAAAAAAAATTTACATTTCATGATAAATAATTAATACAATGTAATAATAATAGAATCACAGAGAAACAAAAATATATAATTCATTCTTGTACCATTGGATGTTATCAAGTCCAAGAGATCCCAAAAAGAAAAATTAATCCTAAACTTTTTTTTGTTTTGTTTTCAAAGATCACTACGATGTATATTGAATAAAGGAAATGATATATGCGGATGATGATGAGGAGGAGGTGGTGGTACACTACTACTACTTGAAGATGTATTATTATCTACATTCGATGATGATGATGATGTTGAGCTACGAAAACTAGTTAATGTCGATGTTGTTGATGAAGCTGATGCCATCATTGATGATGATGATGATGATGGTACATGAGGATTATGTGTCGCAGATTGACCATGTACAACACCCATTGTCGTATGATGTGAATGATTTGATCGTTGCGATGGATGTGATTGTGATTGAACGCTATGTTGTCCAAATGTTACATTCGATGATGATGATGATGATGATGGATCAATTTGATGTGTATGATGTGGATGATGATGGTGATGATGATGTACCATCGATGGTGGCGGTGGATATGGAAATGGTCCAAATGAAGGATGAGGATGATGATGTGATTGATGTGTATGATGTGAATGATTATCGACAGCAGCTGTTGATGGCGGTGGTGGTGGAACAAGATGATGGTAATTTCGATGATGATTCATCATAGTTGCTGTTGCATTAGATGTCGTATCATTAATAGCAGCTATTGCTACCGCTGTAGATGATGATGTTGATGGTCGTCGATTGGTTATAATTGATGGTGACATTGGTGTAACATTTGTTGCATTCGAAAAATTCGAATGAGGACCGGTTGAAGCTGACGGTGGTGGTGGCGGATAGAAATGAGACTGATAATTTGATGAATTTGAATGGCTCGATGGTTGATAATAATTTTTCGATGTTTGATGTGTTGATTCAACTAAACTACCAGTGACACTGCTGGAACCGATATTTGAAGAAGAAAAAGTTAATGCTTCAACACTTACCACCGATGATGATGATGTCAAAGATTTGGTTATAGAACTTGATGATGACGAACTACCAGGTAAAAATTTCGGTAAATTATTTGATATCGATGATGATGATAAACGTGAATTGAATTTACTACCACCACCACCGTTCACCAAACCAACCGAACTGGATGACGATGGATCTGCTGTTGGAATTGAACTTGGTATATATGATGGATAAGCAGAAGAGTTTACAATAGAAGCAGCGGGTGATGGAGGAAGAGGTGCTAATGAAGAACTTGTTGAAGGAGATGTTATATCGGGAAATATATTGGAAAGATTAAAATTTGGTATATGATTGCTACAACTTAATGATCCAGACGTAGATGATGTAACTGGATAATAAAGCGATGTATTCGAATTCGATTGTGATTGTTGTAATTGATTCGATGAATGTTGTGACGGTTGATGTTGTTGTTGATGCTGTGATTGTGATTGATTTAATTGCTGCGAAGATGATTGATGCGATACAGTAGCCGTAGAATATGATGATGATGTAGCCGAACTACGAGGATAAGATGATGGCAATGATGTACTATTTGTTGTTGTCGTTGAACCACTATTAGAATGATGATGATGAGGACGAAACAATATTGGATAACAACTGCTTATCAATTCTTGTGATGCTGAATTCGATGATTCTTCTTGGGTTGATTCAGAATTGATTAAGCATTGTTGCTGTTGCTGCTGTTGATCACTATTCGATTGATGTGATGATGAGGAAACGAAAAAATTCGGATAACGAATATTCGAATTATGATTATATGATGATGATGATGATGATGACGATTGTTCAGCTGTGACATTATTCGAATTATATGAATTCACTGGTTGTTGATGATTCAAATTATGATTATTCGATGTTGTTGTTGATGATGATAATGATGATGTTGTCGATATTATATCCGGTATTAGAAAATAATTTTCATTTGAATTTCGTTTATTTGGTGACGAAGTCGAAGCGACATCTGTCGTTATTGTTTTCGAAGTTTTTGATGTATTTATTGATGAAGACGACGACGAAGACGATGATGATGATGATGAAACAAGTGTTTTTGAAGTTCCATTCGATCTTGAGTGTGAAATGTTTTTCGTTGTACTAGGTGTTTGGGATTTTTTATTATTATTTCGTTGATTAGTAGCCGTAGATAGATTTGATGATTTACTGTTATTCGATCTAGATGTTGATCGTGTCACGGAATTATTATTTGACTGACCAATTTCCTGTAGAATACAATTTGAACCAACAATATGATCATTTGATTGTGTAAATGTTGATGGCTGAAAATCAATTAGATTATTGAATTGTGAATTTTGATTCGATGTCATTGTGGAAGATGGACATTGATAAGTATTATATGCACTGGATGTAGATGGTGAATTTGTTGATGAAACGAATGTGGACATTTCGAATGAATTTGATGATTTACCATGATTTGTTGTTGTCTGTAGTTGTGATTGTGATACATTATCAACAGTTGTTGTTTGAATATCAGCTGAATGATATAAGGAATGGTAATCGAATTCAAATTGATGGTTGCCAGAATGATAACCGGATGTTGATGATGATAAAATTGCACGTTTTTGTTGCTGTTGTTGTTGTCCATCTTGTTCGGAAGATTTCGTTCCAAAACGGAATAAACTACCAGAATGTTCAGCATTCTTGTCAGCATGTCCATTGTTTGATGAAATTTTCGGATCAGTTTGCATTAATAGATTTGCTGTGTAATAGGATGAGGAAGTAGAATTGGTTTTATTTGTCACCGTTTCAGCCAAATTAACATTTTCAGAAAAACGTTGTGGCTGCTGTTGCTTAGAATTGTCATTATTATTTTCACTTTGTGGATTCTGAAGATCTAAAGTTTCTTGATCTTCATCGTTTTGTTGTTCAAGAGAATTGGAATTATTCTTCGTAACTGATTCATCAATGATATTTGATGAATCAGTTATATCAGAATTTTTATGAACCAATGTTGAAGGATTTAAATTTTTAGCTTCGATTTGTTCATTAGTTTGGGCATTATCAAGCTTAGAATCTGCACCATCATTTTGAATGGATTCTTTAACACAGGAATCAGTGTCATTAACATTCATTTGTTCCATTATGATCACATCATTTTCGTTTTCATTGTGGATGCCATTTTCGTCGGAGGAAAGCTGTTTGAATGGCGCTTCTACAATAATTGTGGTCAACTTTTTCTTCGTTTTGGATCTGGTCGATGATGTCGTTTTGGACGCGCTACCTTTAACGTTGTTGCTGGTGGCAGTGGGCTTCTTTTTCGATTTCTTTGTGGCCGTTACTTTAGATTTGGATTGTATCATTGCACTAGTAGTTTGATCTTTATTTTTCGATGAATTTTTCACAACTTTTAATGATTTTGAAGATTTGTTGCTTAATGAATTGCTATTTACATTATGGGTTTTCTGATTCTTTTCAACGTTTGTATTATTATTGTCCAACGACCTGCTACGTTTTGAAGATCGTTTGGTTTCCGATATATTTTCATGATTTATCGGTTGATGTAAATGTGCAGTTCTATTTGTTAGATTGGCAATTGCTGGAGTTATATTACAGATAGGAACGGCTTGTAATCCACCGGATGGACCACCAGAGCTGACCAAAACAAATTGTTGTTGCTGTTGTGTAGTGGCCGTTGTTGATGAAGAATTTGATCTATTCAATCCGGATAGGTTGAATGTAGTGGATATTAATGATGATGCGGATGAAAGATTCGCAGCCGTCAATATGATGTTCGAATGTTGATTACGGCTTTCAATGTTACGATTAATTGTCTTAGAATTTTTCGTTCTATTTACAGTTTGATTATTTTGGCCATTCTCCTCTTCATCGTCATCATCATCATCATCATCGGAAATAATATCTTCATTATGAATATGTTTAGATGATGTGGTCATATATTTCGATGAATATTTCAATGGTCTTTTTTTCCATGTTTCTGGTATTGTTGGATCTATCAGTAGTTTATCCGGAGAAATACCAGCTGATTTAAGAAGATTCTGATAACTAATAATCATTAGTTCAAAATTATCAATACGTTCACGTAATTGTTGAATTTCTTGAACTAGAAAATTGGTGAAAAAAAGAAAAAACAAAAAATTCAATGTCAATGTCAATTCACAACAAAGATCTGAAAAAGACATACCCAAAACCGAATTCGGATTGGCAAACATAAGTGCATCATTTTTATTCTTTAAATCAATAATATACGAATGAATTCGTTCCAATTTTTCTCGTTTACTTTTATTCATAAATTCATGTTTAAATGGTAAACAATTGACAATTTCATCGATTAGACCGAAAATTCGCTGTTTACGTGTACGTTCGATACCATTATGAATAATTTTCTTTAGATTAGCTGCGGATGTTTTATCCAATACCATCGTTACGATATATCATTTGAAGATAAATTCTTCGATCGGAAAAAATGAAAAAAAGAAATAAAAACTACTTGGTAAAAACCAACAATCAATCAAAACAAAATTAAAAAAAAATATTGTTTACAATTGTCAACAAAAATTTGGCTAAAAGATGGCGCCATTGCCGAATTCCTCAAAAAAATTGTACCGAAATGTTTAGTTTTCATTTCGAATATATTAAATTAAAGATTAAAGATTAAAATTATGTGTTATTTGATTGTGGAATCCCAAACCGGTCTTAATCAATATTGTTAATCAATTTAAGTCAACAACGACAATACAAAAATCCGTCCTTGATGATGATGTGTTCACCCAATTTGGCTTCTCATTCTATTCTCTTATATTCTTGTCATCATACTAAACATTTAAAAAATAAATTTTTGAAATATTTTTACAAAATCTAGTGCAATGTTGAAATTATTTGCGTTTGCAACACAATTAAAAAAATAATCAATAAATATACGCACAAAAGACTGGTTAGTTTTAATAACAAGCTCACAATCAAGGTATGTAGAATATGAAACTATTGTTATATTGTTATATTAATCAATTAGTGCCATTGTTGCTTATCATTTTCATATGTCAACAATATTTTAAAAAATCCTATATGTGATGCATAGAAAAACTTGGTTTTGTTTTGTTAAGTAAAAAAAAAATCCATCAATTTTCATATCATCAACAATATTGAATACATAGCCGATAAAGAAAAAATGTCATTGATAGTCAGAATTATTTCAGTGATCAAATGGGGAAGAAATTCAAAGTCCAAAAATAACTAAATGAATATATACGTCAAAGAAAAAGCTTGTCGATCTTGTTCTTATCTTTATATCATTATTTGGAAAAGGAAAAATTTATAAATCCTGTTTTTTATTTTCTTTTTACATAACTTCTTAGCTTCAGCCATCGTTGTTATCGACGAGGGGTTCAAAATGATAAGAGAAGTGTTGAATAAAAATGGACTCGAATTGAATGTAAGTGTGCTCATTATCAATGATGATTTGGATGCTGCTGTTCAGGCAGTCCAAACGTGTTTTATTTAATTTTTTTCGAAACCAGATTTCATCATTGAAGAAAAATTTTTTTTTTTATTATTTTTTCCCACTTAATTTATACGTATCGATAAATCTTTGTTGATATGTGCAATGTTTATTTTATTTCGATTTTTTATGTTTTGTATAAATACGAAACATTTTTTGGGAAAATTTTCCAATTCGTCATCCAACCAACTACAAACAAACTATGTTAAAAAACTTAAAAACGAAAATTGAATTTACATTATGAAACTTGCATTGATTGGACAATCGTTGTTTGCCAGTTCCTGTTATCAATTAATCAAGGAAAATGGCCATACAATTGTTGCTGTATTCACAATACCGGATCAAAATGGTCGTGAAGATCCGGTAGCAATAGCGGCTAATGTTGATAATGTTCCTGTTTTTAAATTTCCTCGTTGGCGTCTTAAAGGCAAAATATTACCAGATGTATTTGAACAATATAAAGCTGTTGGTGCTGATCTTAATGTTTTAGCTTATTGTTCACAATTTATTCCAATGGAAGTAATTCTTTATCCAAAACATCAGTCAATCTGTTATCATCCATCATTATTACCTAAACATCGTGGTGCATCATCCATCAATTGGACTCTGATCAATGGTGATCATAAAGGTATTTTGTTCATGCGTGTGTTTTGTTCATTATTAATTCATAAATGAAAAAAAAATTTTATTATCATTATGTATAGGAGGTTTTTCCATTTTCTGGTGTGATGATGGTCTTGATACTGGACCAATTTTATTACAAAAAAGTGTTGATATTGATCCAAATGAAACTGTCGATTCATTGTATTTGCGTTTCCTGTTTCCCGAAGGTGTTCGTAGTATGCTCGAAGCTGTTGATCTTATTGAACAAGGACGTGCACCATGTCTGATTCAACCGGAAGAAGGAGCTAGCTATGATCCTATGTTGAATAAAAAAGAACTATATGAACTTAAGCTGGATGAATTGTCTGGACAACAAGTGCATAATTTTGTCCGTGGTTGTGATACGGTTCCAGGTGCTTGGATACGTATTGATGGACAGATGATTAAATTATATGGTTCAAAACGATGGCGTCGACCGATACCGACCAAAGTTCAAGAAATCACCATTGATAGTGAGTGGATTTTATTTAGATAATGATAAGTTCAATCTAATTTCTATGTTTTTGCTATTTTAGATTGTCAATCAAAAGCTTTACTTCATAAAGATGGAATGATTTTACAAGGAAAAGATGGCCAAATGATAATTGTATCGAAACTGGGATTGGAAAATGGAAAAATGATACCGGCAGCTAAATTTGGACAACAAGATGAATCATCCAGTCTTGGTGAATTGTCTGAAATAGAAAAAGAATTGGTCGAACAAATTCGAACCATTTGGAAATCTATATTGAACACTGATATTGATGATTCAAGTAATTTTTTCAAACTTGGTGCTGGATCTATGGATGTAACACGTTTGGTTGAATCCGTTATTGAATTGGATCAATGTGAGCAGCTATCATTAGCCAATGAACATGTTTATATGAATTCCGGTTTTGATGAATTCTATTCAATGGTCATTATTAAATTACGTCATGGTGGCCAGGATGATGATCGACCTAAAATAGAATATAAGCCTATTGAAATGGTTGTCAATAAACGAAAACTACGCTTTCCAAATCAATTATTCATTCAGAATGAATTTGTTGATTCATCAAACCCTGAAAAAACATTTAAGACAATAAATCCAACTGATGAAACAGTAATCTGTCAAGTTCAAAATTCTACACGCGAAGATGTTGATCGAGCAGTGATGGCCGCTCAGGAAGCATTCGATTATGGTGAATGGTCACAGATGAATGCTCGTGATCGTGGTAAATTGCTATATCGATTAGCCGATCTAATGGAACAACATAAAGAAGAATTAGCCACATTAGAATCAATTGATTCTGGCGCAGTGTATACATTGGCCATTAAAACTCATGTAGGCATGTCTATTGATACATTTCGTTATTTTGCCGGTTGGTGTGATAAAATACAAGGCGAAACTATTCCCATCAATAATGCACGACCAAATCGTAATCTAACTTTCACACGAAAAGAACCGATTGGTGTCTGTGGTATAATCACACCATGGAATTATCCATTGATGATGGTCTCATGGAAAATGGCCGCTTGTTTAGCTGCTGGTAATACGGTTGTATTGAAACCGGCCCAAGTGTCACCGTTGACTGCACTGAAATTGGCCGAACTTTCCGTACAGGCTGGATTTCCACCTGGTGTAATCAACATTCTACCTGGTTCAGGTTCTGTCACAGGCCAGGCTTTAATCGATCATCCATTGATTAGAAAATTGGGTTTTACCGGTTCCACACCTATCGGTAAACTTATCATGAAATCATGTGCTGAATCAAATTTAAAAAAATGTTCATTGGAATTGGGTGGTAAATCTCCTTTAATTATATTCCGTGATTGTGATATGGATCGCGCTGTCAGGCATTCAATGTCGGCTGTTTTTTTCAACAAAGGTATGGGAAACGATGAATTTTCTCTATTTGATTGATTGATCGATTTGTTTTATAGGCGAAAATTGCATTGCTGCTGGACGATTATTCGTTGAACGGTCCATTCATGATGTATTTGTGCAAAGAGTAGTGGAAGAGGTTAAAAAGATGAAAATTGGAGATCCATTGGATCGATCGACTGATCATGGCCCACAAAATCATCGTGCTCATCTGGAAAAATTGATCGAATATGCCGAAACCGGAGTGAAAGAAGGTGCCAAATTGATCTATGGTGGCCGACAAGCACCAAGGCCTGGCCTATTTTTTGAACCTACCATATTCACCAATGTTCAGGATGACATGTACATTGCTAAAGAGGAATCATTCGGTCCAATCATGATCATATCGATGTTTGATGATGTTCAAAATCAAGAAGATATCGAAGAGGTTATACAACGAGCTAATAATACCGAATTCGGTCTTGCATCTGGTGTGTTCACCAAAGATTTATCCAAAGCTATGTTAGTCAGTGAAAAAATCTGTGCCGGTACTTGTTTTGTAAATTGTTATAACAAAACTGATGTGGCTGCACCATTTGGTGGTTTTAAACAATCTGGATTCGGCAAAGATCTTGGCCGTGAAGCATTGAATGAATATCTTAAGACAAAAACTGTTACTATTGAATATTGAACTATTAGAATACATTTTAATTCATAAACTTGTTTTTAATAATTGAAAAAACAATCAATCAATCAATTAATTGCAAGCTGGAACATTGTTCAGGTAATTATCGCAAATGTATTTGACCAAATCTACATTAACATCTACAGTACGGCTTTCGACCGTAGTCCATGGAACATAATTATGTCGAGGCGTTTTACGGGCCATCACTTTGATCAATTCAAAGCCTTTTTGGCCGGTAGCGCATGAATGAAGTTGGTCATAATTCAAATTCAATTGTTGAGCGCATCTTTTTGCACTATATTGAGGATTACTGTAATAAGATGATCTGAACATACATTCAACCAATTTGAATCCCGTATCAAAACCATTCATGTCCAATGAACAAGCTTGGAAAGCATTACCATAACACTCTAAAGCTCCATGTTGACATTGTGGTCCATTCGAATAGATATGAGCATTACCGAATGGAACAAGATCAATGTCTACATATTCACCTAATTGTTGTCGAAGAGGCACAATAGCATTAATGAAATGAGTACGGCAACCGGAACAAATTGTTTCATAGTATACGCCCACGCTTACACGCTATAAAGTGATTTAAAAACAATGAACGAAAAAAAAATTATTATTATTATTATTATTAATCGAATCAAAGAAATATTGATGATTACATTGCATTCGATGGTCGAAGCAGCGAATAGAACTGCTAAAACGAAAAATGTGGATTTCATTTTTGTTGTTGTTGTTGTTGCTGTTGTTCTTAAGTTACTTATGTGTATGTTGAATTGAATGTATCGATCGATTTGATATTTAATTCGTCATTTGTTCTGCCATTTTTATATGGATTTTTTAAAAATAATTTTAAGTATTTTGTGCTCATAAAAATCACAAGATATGCCCATAATAATTTCGAAATAGCTATTGATAGTTATTAAATAGATTGTTGCCAATGAAAAATTTATTGATTCTACATTCTGATTTTGATGTTGATTATGATGATGATGACCTCAATTAATTAATTAAAAAAAATTGATAAATCATTTATTGACGATTAATTGATAAATTTTATCAATTAATAGCCAAGTTTATCCGGACACGGAATTCAGTTCTTTATTTAAATCCGGTTTCAATCATACCATCATTGATCTTGGATTTATATTGGTTTTATTGATGATAAAAAAAAATTATTGGTTTTTTTTATTTTTAGAAAATGTTTTTTTTTATTTATTTATTTTATCGATTTATCTATTTATTAATGAAAAATGATTAATTTTGAAAACATTATTATAATTTTTGATTAATAAATATTTTTTTGGCAAGCTGGAACATTTTCATCGGCCAAAAAATTCTCACAAATGTATTCGATTAGATTGGCATGAAAATCAACGTATTTGCCTTCAACAGTTGTCCATGGAACATATTCACGATCAGGTACGGAATCCGTTTTCGAACGCATTTCCAATGCTAATTCCCAGCCACGATCACCACTAGCACAGCTATGAATTTTCTGGAAATCCATCTGAAGAGATTGAGCACACTAAAAAACAAAATAAAAATAAAATCAATAATTGAATAATAATAATATTAATAGATGATGACATACTTCTTTAGCCGAAACGGCCGGATTAGCAAAATGAGGTGATTCAAACATGCAAATAGTATATTCATAAAGTTTTTCAAAACCGTATATATCTAATGCACATGCTTGGCATGCATTACCATAGCATTCACTATCACCATGTTGACAATAGATACGATGTACTTGTGGATACATTCGTGCATTACCATATGGAACTAATTCTAGATCCATATAATCACCGATAGCTTTACGAGCCGGTACAACAACACCAAGAAAATGTTTACGACATGCCGTACAAATTGTTTCGTAATAAACGGATACTTTTACTTTCTACATCGATATGGATGAATGAAAATGAAAGAATTTTTGGCAAGAATTTCAAAAAAAAAACTTACTTTGGATTCAATCAATTGTGTTGAAAATGTCAACGACAACAAAAGACAAAAAGCAGAAAAAAGAAACAATTTCATCATGAAAATTGGATTTTATCAAATAGTTGGAAAAATAATATCATCCAATCTAATCAATAATTAAGCTCCAAACACCAAACTGAGTCTTTTAAATCAATAATGCACGATTGATCGATAAAAAATAGATTGATTTTTATCATTAAATTTTAATTGTTGATTAATTAATTAGAATAAAATCAAAGTGGTTAAGACATAAAATGACAGAAAAGATATATAGTTGAAAAACAAAAAAGTCACAATCATATACTGATATTATAAATCGATGGATTCAAGGTGATTTTTGATGAACACCCGGACAAACGTTATGATGATAATTATAATGCTACCAGGAATTAGAACAATGTTGTTGTTCTCAAATTAAGTGATCAATTATTATCGATGATGATAAATGATTTCATTTTTTCAAGTATGTTATTCCTAGAAAATGATTGGCAATTTTGGCCGCTTCACGTAATCCAGATAATAATGCTCCGTGTACAGTGGACGGATAATTACGTATAGTATGTTCCCCAGCAAAAAATAGCCGTGGTATTAATGGATCGGCTGCATTATTACTTGGATGTAGTACCGGTTCGGCAAGATAATCAAAATCATCACCGGTAGCACCACGAGCTACATATGAATATGATCCTTGTGACCATGGATCCGATTTCCAACGTGTTACAAAATAACTTTTCAATATAGGTAATTGGCCAAACATTTCTATTAGAATGGATAGACATTTCGATTTAATTTGTTCATCATTCATTTGTTCTAGATCATCGGCTGCTTCGCCAGCAATGAATGCAACCAATACTGGCTGTTGTCGTTGTACAGATGTGAATAGGAATAGTTCACCACGATTTTTTGTCGTTGTCGAAACATTTCCAAATAAATGTGTATTCAGATCCCAGAAAATCTTTTCGAAAACAAGGACAACTTTGTTAAGGTTACCAAAACCTAAACGATTGATAGCTTGACATTTATAATCAGGTAATGGTGGTTTGAATTGAACCCAATTCAATGAATTTGTTTCAGTTCTTTGTGTCGTATTGACTGCATTTTTTAATACACCCAATGGTAATGTACAAAGGACAGCATCGACTGTATAGCTGCTGGTAGATAGTAGTGATTTTTTATTCTGATTCTTATCCAATTTTTCAACATTTACCACTTGAATTTCAGCACCAGTCGGCGTTAACGTGATCGATTGAACCATTTGATTTAATTTGATCTCAAAATCGGCACCATCATTAGCCAGTGATAAAGCTACTTGATTTTGACCATCTTTAGCATACATTTGTGGTCCAGCAAAGGCATAATCATCATCCATATCCCAATGTTGTAATGATAGATTATTCAATGAGGTACCAGTAGCAAATTCAAGATTTGCAAAATGCCAATCAAGAATCCGACGGTCAACAGCCGATAGATATTCGATTGGTGTAGTTTTCGTTTTTGATTCCAGATCTTTCAAACGTTTCTCAAGATGGTCACATTTTTGTTTCGTTGCTTTATACAATTCGATGGCACGATTTAAATCATAACGGTTTACACGAAATGCATATTCCTGTTTAGGATTACGGGCAATTTTACTTTGTAAAGCTTCACGATGTTTATCATATAATTCTTCTATAGTCATTTCTAATTCTTTCAATGTATCTAAACTTTTCGATAGAATATCCTGACAAAAGTAGATATCATTCAAATGTTTTAGATGTTCTTGACGAACTTGACGTTCATGTAGTTCAATTATGATGGCTAAACCATCACCTAACGATAATGGACGATCTAAACCATCAGCACCGGTAGTTAAATTTTTCTCTTTAACCATATCGGATGTACTTTCCAGAATCGTATTAAATACATTCTCAAGAACCTCATCTTTTGATTTATCCACAATAGAATTTTTAAGATATAATGGACATTTCTGGTTGATTGGACGCATTTCTAGATTGATTTGTTTGGCCAACACTCGGATCGGATTGCCCAATAAACCGGTTATGACAAACGCGCCGACATCTGCTTTTTGATCATATGTCCATATACGACCACCAAGACGATTACGAGCTTCGAATACGATCACATCAAAACCGAAATATTTCAATTGACGTGCAGCAATTAATCCGGCTATACCTGCACCAATTATACCGATTTTTTTCGGTTTAGCCAACACCATCGGTTTGGATATTTGAAATACACCGAAATTAATATAACCATAACGTTCGAGAAAATGAAAAATTCGTGATATAAAAACCGGATCAGTATTAAATGGTTGTTCAAGACGTTGATAAACAATTTCCAGTAATAATTGTTGCTATTTTTTTGACAAAAAAAAATGAATAAGAGATATGATTCTCAAACCAAATTTTTCTCTCACCTTTGGATTAATAAGCCAAAATTTTAAAATACTATTACGAATATGAAGAAAAAGTGGAATTAAACTGGTATTCTCGACAACATCATGAAATGCTTTCATTTCTTCAGCCGACATTTTATCTGCCCATAATCGTGATTGAAATGCTGCACCTTCAAGTGTAGATAATTCGGCATCATGATCAATGAATTGATCTACATCATCATCAATTGATTGTTGCGGTGGTTGCACAATTGACAAATTAAATTGTTGTTGATCTGGCTGATGTTGTTGTGATAATGTTAAAGAATCGCCCGTTACAGCTGTGGTTGCCGTTACTGGAGCCATCATCATTATAGCACGAATTGGTAAATGATGTGAAGATGATGACACTTGTGAATTGAATTTATCTTCACTCGTTGCAATTAGAATTTGTGGTTGTTGATTATGACCAACATTGGTTGATACTTGTTGCAGTATTTGATATGACGGCGATGTCGTTAATGATGATGATGATGATGATAATGAAGATGCGGCAATAGCCGATGGTGGTGATGAATTACTATTCATATTAACAATCATCAATAAAGAAAAAAAATTTGATTTCGATTACAAAATTGATAAATTAAATTTAAATTATAAAAGAATATTTTAAAATAAATTATCTGATTGGAATCCGGTATTTATAAGTTTTTTATTTTTGGCAAAGCATTTTATCAAAAGTAAGAAGAAATGAAATTAGATTATTCAATTCGAATGACAATGAAAGAAATCCTAGTAGAAAACTAAAAGCAGAATAAAATCAATAGAAAATGGTCGAAATATAATTACCGAAATTGGAGAAAATTGCTGTTTATTTTTTGGACACTGACACTGATCCTGGAACATTTGCACTGCACTGGATTGTGTGAGACTGAATTTAATGAATGAATGAATGGAGAGAGAGAAAGAGAAAACAGTGAGTGGTATAAATAAATATAACACTGTATAAATAACAAAAAACATCATGTAATGGAATTATTGACCGGTAGATGACGCCAATTAAATGAATTTTTTTTCAAAAATTCGATTGCTTTCACCCTTTCATCATTAATAATTTATTATTAACTCTTTCGGTTTTTAGAAATAGAAAATAATTTTATTTTATTTTTATTTTATATTTTATCGCTTTGGCAAAAATGATTGTAATAATAATAAATACAAATTTCTTCAAACAATATACAATTATACAAAGATAATGAAGAAAAAAAAACATGGAAGAACTTGGAATTTCAATTGGTTTTTAGATTATCATTTAGATCTAGATCAGTCGATTCTGTTCATTCTTTACAAACAGTGATGATGATCGATCCGAATCGATTGTTTTCATTTCATTACCACCATTGATGATAGTATCGAATGCATCCATCGTATCTGTTGAGGTTGTTGGATCAAAATCCGAAAGACAATGTATGTGATTAGGTACAGCAAAACTGAATTGATAACGTTTACGACATGTGCGTACGCCACAACGATATCGTTGCATATTTTGTGACTGTTGTTGTTGCTGTTGTGGATCCGATTGTTCTGGCTGTTGAATAGGACAATATCGAACACCACAAACATACCATGGTATGAATATGTTCAATGAACAATGACATGGTTGTTGTCGATGACGATGATTATTAAACATTGATTTCATCATCATAATCGATGATAAAAGGCCATGTTTATTAGAGGACGATTGATTCAAAGATGATTCAGTTTGGTCACCATTCAACATCCAGTTTGATATAATTTGACCACAACGCATCCTTTCCTGATTGACAACAAGTCTGAATTTCTTTTCCAATTGCTGTTCATGTTCATCATCAGTTGAATTGGTCTGCTTTGAAGATAATTGAGAGCGAGATTTTTGACCATTAGTATTAGCTTGTTGTAAATTCCGATTCTGTTGAATTCCATCATTGTCGGTATTCGAATAATTCAACTTTTTGATTGCATTCGAAATGTTTGCAAATGTTCGATGTCCTGTATTGAAGATAAAAAAATCAAAGATAATCAATAGATGAAATAGATAGAGCCATTTAATATCATATCGATCGTAAATTGAAGCAAAAAAAAAAATATTCGATTGGTGTTGACCATCACCATCATAACCAACTTTTTTCTTTTATCGTTCAACGATTTTGATTTGCTTCATTATACATACATTTGAAGCCGTTCACATTTTCCCACTTACTCACTCAATCAATTCTTCGGGTCGTTGAATAATAATCGGGAATACATAACATAACATTTGATGAAAGCAAAAAACCATATATTTCTTATTCAATATGTAACGACGACGACAACAACAACAACAGAAAGAATGAACACATATACACAAGAATCCAATTCTTCGGTTATTGATTTTTTTTTTCTTTCACAATTTCAAATTCTCAATATTCGAATTGGACACACTCACACATACACACAAAACATAACAATTCTATCCATTCATTCATTTTGTCCATATAGTCAACATAGTGGTCGAATATATTCGAATTTATTCAATCGAACAATGTGTGTGTGTGTGTCCATGTTATACAGATAGAATAATCAAATTTTGTGATCAAATCAAAACTGATTATTATTATGCGGGTGAAATTCGAAATAAAGAAAAATTCTTTGGAAAAGAAGAAGAAAAAAAATGAATTGAAATTCAATGTTTTTGGTGGATATTTGACAAATTTCACTGTGAATGCTACTACCACTGCTACTACTACTATTGTATTATTCAATTACCGAAAAAAAAGAAGAAAATCAGATAATATTTTGGGCTATTTTTCCTGATTATTTCAAAAAAAAAAAGAATACACCGAAGATAAAATGTGTGTTTTTTGTGTATGTGTTACAAACCATTTGTATGCATTGCGTATGTTGATGATGAACAGAGTCGGTGAATGTTGAAAAAAAAAATTCATGTGCCCCATACAGGGTAACCGAATTTTTTTTTTTTTTTTTGACCAAAAAAAACGAAAGAATCTTTCATTTTGAATTTCAATAATAATAATAATAATAATAATAATATAAAACAGAGATTTATTCATTTCATTCCTTTACAAAGCAGCCGAAGCAATCGTGATCGGTGATGAAATTTATTCAAAATAGCTATGTATTCACCAACCAACCAACCAACCAACCAACCATTCAGCAAGCCAGTTAGAAAGATTTAGAAATCTTGTGATTGAAAACATAATATAGCTTAGTGCCTGTTCTATTATTAGTTATAATATAATTCCAAGCAAAAAAAAAAATTCTTCTTCATACTAAAGATGGTCATTAGCCGACTTTCAATTCATTTTCATTGAATTCATTCAAGTAACATGACACAATTCTTATCAATTTCCACCAAAAAAAAGAATAATTTGATTTAGTTTTTTATTATATATTGTCGTTTTTTTCACATCCAAATCTAGTTCGATAGAGATTTTTTGAGGACGGAAATGGATGCAATGATAGATAGATGGATTGAACGGAAACTTGAAAAATTCCAGAAAATTCATTGCCAATTGATTCTTGTGAATTTCTTTTTTTTCTTTCTTTCTCTTGCACTTATTCGTTAGTTAGTTAGTTGGTTTTTTTTGTTTGTTGAACGAAAACAAATCGAAAAACAAATACGATTTGACATATGTGTGCGGATAGGATTCATACAATGTGCAAAAAAAAAAACCTAAAATTGATGTTTTTTCGTATCGAATCAAAATAATCTATTTTTTCGAATATTTGCGTGTAACAACCAACGTAAGTAATGATAGTTTCTAAAATATTCAAAAGATGATTCCCCTTCTACAGTATCATGATCCTACTCATTTATCTTGTCAATAAAAAAAAAGAAAAAACCAATTTTCTAATCGTGCATATAGTAAGACAGCCAATAGAAAGGAAAAATAAGAAAATAGAAGCAAAAAATTCCAAAGAATAAAAAAAAAATATCATACCATCGGTCCAATGACGAAGATCATCATAACTGGCATAAATTCGATGATTATATTGTGACCAATCATTATCCTCATTATTATCGTTATTTGCTACACAATTATCCCGAATATGTGGTGATATTATCGTTATTGATGATGGCGATCGTTGACGAAAAATATCACCACCACCACCATCATTATTATTATTATTATTACGGTCATTATCGATTATAATCTCTAAATCCATATGATATGATTGTTGGCCACGATCTTCATCCGCATAACGTATGGCTGAAGGATTTTTCTGAAAAATCAAAAATTGGAACGGGAAAAAAAGAAAATAAAAATTAAAATAAATAAAAAATGAAAATTCGAGTGAAAAAAAAATCAATCATTTTGAATCATGAAACACGGAAAATAAATGGAAAAAAATTCTATTCATAAAATAAATTATCCGATCCATGAGTCTTATTATCAAGATGATGATGATCAAGAAGCATCAAGGGGTTAGATCTCTCATCTCTCTATCTCAAGGGAAAAAGTCTTTTCATTTTTTTTCAATTTCACCTTTTCAATTTTACAAAAAAAAAAATTCCAACACAACACAAGCTCCAACACAAACAAAAAAGTCACATTCACAAACACACACACACAGTTCCATCATCAAAATGATTGATCAAGTGTTATTATCAATATAATAATAAATACCATAGAGAGAAAAAAAAATTTACACCAGAAACCGAATTGTGAACCAAAAAAAAAATCCGAGAAAAAAACAATAGACAATGAACAAGCATGAAACATGGATAAAAAGTGAATAAATTGATTTATGAATTTCAACCAAAATTCTGATGGCTATTCTTTATATTCAAATTTCTCAAAACAAAAGAAAACATGTCTCCTCCTCAGACTTATTATATAATATATATTCGCTACCCCCCTGTTTCCAAGATTTATTGTCTTTTTTTTCTGGCTACTGTTTCGTCTTACTATGCAAAGTGTGTGTACTAAAAAACAACTTTTTGATTTTTTTTTTGTTGAAATTCAATTGAAACACAATTTTTTTTTGGTATCAAATCCAACTTTGAAAAAGTCATCTGCATTTTTTCATTTCTTACCATCCTATACTATTTATCTGTCTATCGCCGTATTTGAAATCAAATCCATCGATTTGATCGATATCGAAAGAAAAAAAAATTTGAAAAACGATTATGTGCGATTATATAAACACACACACAGTGCAAAAAAATTCCTCCAAAATCCAACACCCACCATTAGTGTTTGTCTGTGTGTTTGATGATGATAATATCGTCGTCAATTTATCAAACAAAATAAAAGCCAAAAAAATTTATTTTTTCTTAGTGATAAACACAAACACACACACACACATTGATCGAACACAATTATAGGGACAAACGATTTTGGCAACATTCGTAAATGATCAATTTCAATAATAACGTGAATATAGATAACGTGTAAGTCCATTTGACAATTGTGATGATAATGATGATGATGGTAGTCATCATATAATAATGATCACATTTTTCCCGTTACAATCACAATCGATCGATTAAGCTACCACCAATACCAACAGACATTGATAAAATAAACGGGCTAGTATTATCCGTTGATTCTTTTTGATTCAGAAAAATAATAAGAAACAATAAACAATACCGAAATGAAATGCAACAAACAAACAATGACAAAAAGAAAACTAAACGATTAATCGATTTTCGAATAACCATGAAACAAAACGAAAAAAAAAAATAAAACAAAACAGAACGAAAAAAACATTGTTTTCATTATAAAACAGTGAAAAATTATGGTCATCATCATTGTCATTGTCATTGACTAATCAGGAAAAATTTTTTCGAATCATCCCAAGTGGTCAACAATTTGTCCGTAATATAGCCATTGTGAATGGAAATTTTTTTTGTTTTGTTTTCTAATGAAATGAATTATTATTTCAAAGGAAAAGTGAAAAAAAAATAAACAAATCCATGATAATCCTGTATATTGCTAAATATAGTTATTGTCGTTTTTTTTGCTACATCTCATTGGTGTTCCAACAAAAAAGAAAAACGAAAAAAATCATAGGAAAATAAGTTATAATCCAAAAATAATAAGGCTACTTAATCATTGGTTCTGTATGGATAGGTTTAGAAGAAGACAAATAATGAGAGAGTAAGCTTTAATATTACTATATACTATAGTAGTAGTAATAGTGACTTTAACTAAAAAAAAAATTCATGATTTACATATAATAATCGATCGGGGGCGGGGGTAATCAACATCAATAACATTAAAATGATTGTGCAATATTAAACTATAGGAATGGAAAAAACTTTTGGTATTTTTCTCGGAAAAAGTCCAAAGTCTATTGGGATTTACACTGGTGCAGATGTCATTTGACAGTCGGACAGCGTGTGTGTATTTATGTATCGATATTCCTTAAGGGTAAAGTGAAGTTTTATTTTCAGATGATCCAGATTCGAAATTCTAATAGAAGCATTGCGAAATTCTCAATTTCTGCAATTGGTTAGATAAGAAAATTGAAAAAAATTATTAATTTTTTCAATTTTCATTCGTTCAATAGTTTCTCAATCATTACCAATCGGAGTTTTTTTTGTGGGTTTTTCGTTGTTTGAAAAAAACAATATTTTTTCCAATAAAGTCCAAGTTAATTTGTTACCAGTGTGGCCAATTGATTTTTGTTGTTATCGTTGTTGTCATTGTTATTGTTCCAAATTGAAACTCTGATTCTGATTGAAATTGATTAAATGAAATGGCTGTATATGTGTGTTTTGTCTGTTTTTTGTCTGAAAGAAAATCGTATTAACGAATGACACATTATTACTCGAAAAATAAAAACATACACATTATATTTTCCTGGACAATAACCAATAATAATAACCAACGACAATCTGAAACTATCGTTGGAAATGTTTCTTATGATGATGAGGATGAAGGCACAACACACTAGATTCAATTTAACACTTAATTTCCCAATAGAATTTTGTTCTTCGCTGTAGTTGTCGATGAAACAAAGATCGATTGAAACTACAAACAAATAACAACAACAGCGGACAACGATGAAGAAGGGTTAATGCATCAAATATTTTTTTTTTTTTTTTTGCTTCGTTTACTTTTTGATTGCTGCAAATAAAAGGACTGCGAAACAAAAAGTGTTTTCAGAATTTTTGCAACCATCTTGGGGAAAAGAAATTTCAAAATTCCTAACGAACTAACTAACAAACTAAATTGAACAGGATCCGATCGACAAAATCGGGAATAGAACAAAACAAGGGAAGAAAAATTCTCATTTGGATTGGATGATATAATAAGGTTGTTTCAACAAAAACAAGTGCTCAATCAAATTGATTATTTTTTTTTTTGCTTGATCACATTGGACAAATGGATTCGATATACAAGTCTTGATTCTTGGAAGACATACATCTCTAGTAATACATACACACACGAAAGAAAAACAAAATTTTTCCCAGAAAACAAACCGAAAATAGAAAAAAAAAAAAAAATACAATCGAAAATGCCAAAAAAGCGTTAGCAGCAATTAACTAAATTACCAAATCAGCCAAAAAATCAAACCCGAAATTTGGCCATAAAATCTTCTACTGCATTCATTTTATTTCATTTCAATCATTAGTTCCAAATGTTTCCCGAGATGGATAGGATGAAAGATGTATGATGGTGTTTAAAAGTGAAAATGCAAAGCAACGCGAAAGAAGATGACGAAGAGAAAAAAAAATGGTTGACGAAGCGTAAATCCATCATTATAACCACAAAGCAAAACTACAGAAAACAAAATCACGAAAGGCAATCATCATCATCACATGACATCATCGCTAATGAAATATCTCATCATCATCATCATCGTACTACATACTTATACGAATCTTATATAAATTTCCAGTATGTACATACAACAAGAAAAAGAATGGAGAAACAACGAATCACACATTAGATACAGAGAATTGAGTAAAAAAAACATTTCAAATTCTAGGGCCATATTTAAACACATATACAATCATCATCAGATACATGTATGAACAGTAAATTAAATTAACACTTTTCTATGTGCAAACATATAAGATTAACATTTTTTTTTTCGTAACAAAATGCGTCTGTTTTTTGCCACCGTAACAATCGTTGAGGCCAATATATCTCAATCTTTTCCATTTCTTTTTCTAACTCTCGATGTGCTTGAATGTTTTTCTTTTTTGGAAATTTAAAAGAAAAATTTAATCAGTCTCAGAATTTCAATCTCAGTTTTATCTCTCTCCCTGTGTGTGTGTGTGTTTGCAATATCTAGCAGGACGCGTCTATCTATTTAATCACTTGAGAAAAATAAACAAAGAGAGAATCGTATAAATGTAACGAAAATGTTAATGTAGTTAAATTCTAAAATGCTAAATGTGAATTTAGAAAGAAGAAAATGACACTTTTTATGCATTCAAAAAAATTTGTTTTCCAAATTAAATTGTTGGATTCTTTTGAAAAAAAAGTTTAAAGAAATGTCTAGATTTCTAGGAAACATCAACATCAACATTCATTCAAGCTTTTGACAAGAATGCAAAAAAATAATCCTTAAGACTAAAAATAAAGATTATTCAAGTAAAATAATAGAATCCAAGTACAGAAAGGAAATTGTAGGAAAAAAATTTCTTATTTGAGAATTTCTGAATTAAACATACCTGTGAAAGGCGTGACATAAGCTGTGGTGATACAAAACCAGCATCCATATGGCCATCATCATCATAATCATCATCGTCATTACCATCATTATCGTCATCGATACTGGAATCAACATTATGATGATGTTGATGATCGCCACCACCACCACCATCATCATCATCATCAACATGGTTATAACCACCACCACCACCATCAATATCATCATCTTCACCTGCACCGTTTGGCCGTCGTTGTTGCTGTTGTGGAATATTATGATGATCATCATCATCATTAGTAGCATCGGCATCAGTATTCATCGACATCGAATGTATCGTTTTTAATGGTGATAATCTGGTTATAAAACAGAATAATTGGACCTTTTGTTCATGTAGATCTTGTTCACCAAGCCGTGCTATACGAAACAATTGTATATTCTTTTTTTGTGTTCGAATTTATTTTTGTTTTTCGTTTTCCATTTCCAATTCGTTTTCGTTTTTTGGTTCATTAAATTCCGGATTGAGTATTGTCGTTCGTTCATTTATTTGGCCATAACAATAAATGTATGAGGGTCCATGAATCACATATTTGGAAAAGAAAAAACAATTGTCAAATGAAAAAACGAGAAAAAGAAAAGAATAAAAAAAATTAGAGTTAATTCAATTGAATCGACAATTCAAATAACAATAACAAAAAGAAAACAATCGACAATATCGATAGAATCGATATCCGAATCAGAAATAGTTTTATCTAATCTAATGAATATTGTAGAATTTATATTTAGAAATAAAATTGAGTTGTATGTTGAGAGAGAAAAAGAATCGTTAGCTGTTAATTTTATCATTATGGTTAAATATAGTAACAAAAAACTGAAACAAATTTTTTTTTTTGTTTACAAGAATGACACAATGACAGGCAATTCATGTTCTGATTTTTTTTTCTTTCACAATTTTTCCCTTTTTTTTGACTATATTCTTTCTGGTATTCAGTTCACTACAGTTTATTCTGTGATGACCGCATATGATGAAAATGAAATCAAAATCAAAATAAAAAGAGAATTAGTGTGATGTTTGAATATGTGTAATAAACAAAACGAAACAGAAGAGAAAAACAAAACATTTTGTTGACAGGACTAGGGAATATATATATATTTTTTTTTTTTTTTTGTAAAAATCTCGATAAACAACCTGAATAACAGATGTGTTGGGTGATTGTGTTGTCTGTCGATGACAGCACACAGGTTTTGTTGTTGTTGTTATTATTATTTGGCTAGGATTTAAGAATAAAAAGATTTCATTTTCATCGTATACGTTAAACCGGAGAACACATCCACAAGCCAGGATAGGGATTTTACTCGTTTTGAAAAAAAACGAAGAAAAATGTTCAAATTTACCTTTACTTGACAGCACTGATGTGTTGTTATTGTCAATGTTAAAAATAATAGAATTTAAAAGCTCAGAAATATAAACAGCATCAACAGCAGCAATAGCACCTGAAATCCTGACCAACCAAAAAAAAAAAAAAAATATCTTATTGTAAATAATATTTTCATATCTTGTTTTTCTTTTTCATGTTTGCAAATATTTTTTTTTTGTTTCTCTGGAATAAATTTTCCATGAAAAAAAAACAGAACAGCACAGAATTTGGGGAATTTGAATTTTTTTTTCGTTTGTTTATTTCCAAAAAAAAAAAATTCTTAGGATTTCTGGTTTTCATCATCATCATCACCATTATTCGACGACGACGACGACAACAACAACAGTAGCTATAAGAAAAAAAGCTTTTTTTTTCTTATCTCGTTTCAAGTTTCTGAAATGGGTGAAATGTAGTGTCAAAAAAAAACGAAACGAAACGAAAAAAAATTTCATCTTTTTATCTAATGACGACCAAATATTTTTTTTTTCAAACAAAAATTTATTCGTTATTTATGGACGAAATAAGAAAAAAAATAGCAGCAAAGAGAATACAAACAAAACAAGTTCAATGTACTTTTTCACGATATTTTTGCTACTTTGCTTTTTTTTTTTTTTTGCATTCAAACCATCAGTAAGTATACGAAATAATAATGAGAATAAGGAGAAAAAAATGACTTTTAACATCCTAACCATTGTGGTTGGATTTTCATTTCTTCAAAAAAAATATTCCAATTATGATAAAATTCTACAATATTCAATAAAACAATGAAAAAAAATATCGAATTTTTTTTCAAAAACATCATCAATTCTTAGCAAGAATTTTTTTTTTTAAAGAAATTCTTCAATCAGGAAAAATTAAAATAAATTGAACTAAAAAAAAAAGAAAAAATTCGTGGCTGACGTTACAACATCATCATCATTCCATTGCTAATAACGATGATGAGAAAGAATCCAGATGTTCCTGTACAAATCATGTCAATCATTTCCGCCCCCTTTTTCCAATTTGATCGTTATTTTGTTCGAAAAGAATTTGTTATGTCAAACTTGTATGGTGTATTTTCTCCCTCTCTATCTCTATATATATAAACCACCACCACATTTAACTATGTTTTTTTGTGTTGTTCCGTTCATAATCATTTCATTGCATTTTTCTTCTACTGTTGCTGCCAGAATTTTATTCATAATAATAATAATAACTAAACTACAATGATTATACCATGAACAATTCCGGATTTCTAACGAAACAAATAACGAATAATAATAATTTGTTCCATTTTTTTTGTGTTGTTGGGAATTCCAATTGTTTTTCAAACTAGAATTCTGGTCCATGATTGAATGAATGAATGAATCAGACACAGGACACGTCATGGGGTGTGTGTGTGTGTTTGCTGTGGAAGGGGTCGTCAATTGATTCAGGATTCAATCGTTCAATCATCACCATAAAAAAAATCGTCGATGAGGAAAACGACAACGACAAAATCAAATTGGACATCAGAACAACGACATATATACAACAACAGCAACTCTGATGAAGGTTTTTTGGTGATGTCAAATTAATAATAATAATAATGATAACAAAAACAATTTATTATGATCTGAATCGAAATGACAATTCTCAACAGCCAAAAAAAATTAAGCAGCAGACTTCAAAAATTCGAATTAAGGCAAAAAAAGAGAGGAATAATAATGATGATGTGATTCACAAACACAAATCCATACAGAGAGAGAATAAATTCAAGAATTTTGTAGGAATAATTTTTCTCTTTTGTTTTTCGTATCGTTTTGACATTTATATCTCTATTTTTTTTTTCTTTGTAATTGTTATTGTTTTTTTTCTCTGACGATTTGAAAATCAATTGATTTAAATTGAACAAATTCTTTGGGTTTCCGTTTTATTAGCATAGATATCAATGTTCCATTCGAATCATTCGATTTGGCCATTGGTGTTTGATTCTGAAAATTTTAATTCAATGCATTTCCTTCCTTTGTTTCCGGTGGTTTTTTTCATCTAGATATCCAAGATTTTTCAATGGATCATTTCATTTTGACAAAAGAAGAGATGTGTAGTCATAACACATTCCAAATAATCAAAACGACTATACATATAACCATTACATGAGAAATTATTATTATTATTATTACGATGAAATCATTATTAATGAACATTAAGAATTCAAACCACGAATATCCAAACAGACACACACACAAGAAAAAACACAAAAAAACATCTTAAGTTTTTTCTACAAAAAAACAACAACAAAAAAATCTTAAGTTTCTAGAACGTTATTTGTTTGTGTGTGTGTGTGCATGAATTTCAAAAAAAAAAAAACAATAATGACACATGATTTTTGTTCAGTAATAATTGTGATTCGTTTTGTTCTGATATATAAATCTTGCAGCGTCTTGGATCATCATCATCATCATTATTATTATAATTGCCGAAAAAAAACTTATGGCAACATTAGAAAAAAAAATGAGAACATAAACAAAAACAATTCTATTTCCACACTAATCACACGATCGAATCAAAATTGTCATCGAATGAAAACAAAAAAAAAAAAAAAAAAAAAGAATGGAACATTTTTTTGTAAAGATCAATAATGTCAATCTGTGTTGCCATTCGGCATAATTTATTATTCAAGAATCAATTCATTCTTTATTCGAAAGAAAAAAAAATCATTGTAATCCACAAGCTACCATTTTTAAACGACCTTTTCACTCGTTTCAAATCGAATGTGTGAAATAAAAAAAAAAAAAAAAAACAAAACGGAAAAAAGTCATTCAACAAAATTTCCATATTCAATTCGTTTATGAAAAAAGTCAAATTTGAAAGATACACCCAATCAACCAAGCAAACAACCAAATATCATTCCTCAATAAAAAGATCAGAATCGATAAAAAACATTTGGTTCCATCACAGATGATCGTTGTTCGTTAATGAAATTCAGTTTGTTTTTTGTGTGTTTTTCCGTTCGAATTTCCCGTATCATTTTCCTATGTTATCAGAAAAAACTGATTTCAAATTCAATCGGCGTTATCCATAACACACACACAGACCGAATCGGTGATAGATTGATTACATAATAATCATAATAATTAGTTCGTTCATATATATATGCATAAGTAATGAATTAGCAATTAACAATCGGAAAAAAATACAAACTACACTAATGATTATAATTAGGCAACAAGTTTAACAACATTTTCAGATCTTTCCTTAAACAATAATGGACAAACATATTGTTCCAAAGAAAAAAAAATTAGAAGAAAAAATTCTCAAATTCTACCACCATGAAATATCAAAAAGAGCTAATGAAAATAATGAGAAGAAAAAAAAATAACAAAGCCCAGCCATAAGAATCATAATTAAGACTTTAGCTTCCGTTAGAATAAATGAACAGTGAAAAAAACCAAATAAACAGAAATGAAAAAAAACGCCCACATATACAAGAATTTTACAAAAAAAAAGAGAATAATAACAGCGAAACAACCACCACTAATGATGAGATTGAAAAAAAAGTGAACACATTTACACAATTGTTCAGAATTCAACTATATAAACCATTCATATACATCAGCCATTATTATTATAACCAAAGAAAGAAAAATAGAAAAAATTCAAATGTTAAAAACCATTGTTTTCATTGCCATTCTCTCCTTCTTCACATCATCATCATCATCATCATCATTATTTCAATGAGATACCCACCATCCAACAAAAAAGAATGAATGAATGGGGTAGATACGAAAAGACAATATTGTCGTGATGTCGACAAGTTATTGAATCGAATTTGAATTTTATTTGGAACGAAAATCACTGTGTGTGTTCGTGTGTCTGTGTTCAATTGTATGCTGACTCGGAATTTTCGGTTGGAAACATGCTCGTTTCTCTCACCGACATTCTCGGTCGAAATAGGAAGAGGTGGCAATAGGCAGGAGCGTGCGCAGCCAGTTGACTGCTACACTTCCCGCGCAAGTATGAATGTCCATGTTATAAAAAAATTTTGTGTATGTTACAGAAATGTGGACATGAATCAGGATATTCAATGTGTGATGATGATGATTATGATGATTGAACTTTCCTGGGCCTTCCTCTCTTCCGTTTGATTATGGCTGGTTGAACATCTGGTTTGTTTGCACGTGCTGGGATAGGAAATTCTTCTGTGAGATTTTCGGCGAATTGGACTTTCTTAGCTGGTCTGCCTCTCTTCCTTGGTAAATCAATTTGATCATCCCGCTCAATATAGGCAGGTTTGAGACGATGGAGGGCGACTGATTCTAAACCGTTTTGTGTTTCGATTTCATACGTGGAATCGCGACGATTGATGACTTTGAATGGACCTGTGTATGGTCGTTCTAAAGTTCGGCGATTTTCCTTCAGAAGAAACACGTATTCAGCTGTGGTTAGATCATCTGGAATGTAACAGCGTGAATCTCTGCTTGGTCTAGTTATTGCTGATTTTGCTGCAGCTACATGTTCCTTGAGCATACGGACGAACTCATGTGCCGGCAAGATATCATCGTTATTGGTAACTAGATCAGCTGGAATGGTGAGCTGTGATCCATAAACCAGTTCAGCTGAAGATGATTGCAAATCATCTTTGACTACGGTTCGAAGTCCGAGAAGGACCATGGGTAATATTTGTTCCCATTGTTGTCCTGTTGCCATGATTGAACTTTTTAATGTGCGATGAAAACGTTCAATCATTCCATTTGCACGTGGGTTGAATGCTGCCGTGCGAATATGTTTTGTGCCAATTAGTTTTGTCAACTCGTGGAACAGTTGAGATTCGAATTGAGTTCCTCGGTCGGTTGTAACAACGTCTGGTATTCCAAAGCGACTGATCCAGTGTGTCACGAATAGGTTGGCAACATTTTCGGCAGAAATGGATGACATCGGTATTGCTTCCGGCCATCTGGTGAAACGGTCGATGCATGTTAGTAAGTACCTGTTTCCAGAAATTGGTGATTGTGGTAATGGTCCAACAATATCGATGTTGATGTGTGAAAATCGAATTTTTGGAATATCGATTTGTTTCGGTGGAACAATGGTGTGTCTATGGATTTTAGACTTTTGACAATTTTGGCATGTTCGGCACCATTGTTTGATATCTGCATTCATGGATTTCCAGAAATAGCGATCAGCTGCAATTTGTCGTGTTTTGTTGGCTGATTTATGATCGTGTCCATGGCATAGATGAAAGATTCTCTTATGAAGAGATGATGGTATGACTGGTCGGATTGGAGATTTGTCATCGACGTGTACCAAGATTAGTTGATCATCGATACGTTGTAGTTTGATGCGTGGACCAAATTCTGTTCGGTATGATTCCATCTCTTCGAGTTGATTGTGTTGTTCATTTGCAATCATTTGTAATGATATTGGTTCAATTGATGATGATTCTGTTGATGAAGATGATGGATCAGATGATGTGATTGCTTCGATTTCTACTCTGCTGAGACAATCTGCGACTACATTATCAGTGCCAGATATGTGTCGTATGTCTGAGGTGAATTCGAGAATGTATGACATTAATCGCATTTGCATTGGCGATCTTTTGACATTTGTTCGAACTAATAGGGCATTGACCAATGGCTTGTGGTCAGTATATAATGTGAACTGTCTGCCTTCTATGAGATGTTCGAAGTGTTTTACACAATGATGAGCTGCACGAAGTTCTTTGTCAAATGGTGCTAGCTGAAATTCTTCAGGACGCAGTTTCTTACTGCAGAAACCAAGTGGTTCAACTTTGTTGTCACTGGTGATTTGTTCTAGGCATCCACCTATGGCATGATCAGATGCGTCGGCTTTGATAACTAGTTTAGCCTTTGGATCAATGAATGATAATGTAATTTGTTCACGAAGTGCGGCTTTGATGTCATTGAATGCCTTTAATCTTTCATCGGTCCATTCGAAATCAGTTTTCGACATAGAATGCAATGAAGACATGATTTTGGCTGCATGTGGTATGAATCGACGATAATAGTTGGCCATGCCGATAAATCGTTTGAGAGATTTCAATGAATCTGGTTGAGGAAATTCATCGATGGCTTTCAACTTGTCGGGTGATATGCGGATACCATTTTTGTCTACAATGTGAGCCAGAAATTTCACTTCGGTTTGGAAAAACTTTGATTTTTCAATGTTGATGGTGAGTCCATATTCGTTCAACTTATTGAAAACCTTTTCCAAATGATTGATATGTTGTTGATCATTTTCGGATGCAATTAATAAATCGTCCTGATAGCAATAGATGAAGTCAAGTTCACGAAAGACTTGATCGATGAATCGTTGGAATGTTGATGGAGCATTACGTAATCCGAATGGTAGTCGAATGTACTCGTATAAACCAACTGGTGTTGTTATTGCTGTTTTGAAACGATCTTCCTCACATACGGGGATCTGATGGAATGCTGATAATAGATCGATGGTTGAGAAGATCTTTGTATTACGAAGACTTTGCGAGAAATCTTCTATGTGCTTGATTGGATAGCGATCAGGAATGGTGATTCTGTTTAGCATACGATAATCACCGCATAATCGTAGTTGACCATTAGCTTTAGGAACGACAACTATTCGACTAGCGAATGATGACGATGACGTTTGTATGATTCCCGATTCTAGCATCTTGTTGAGTTCATCCTTTACAGCTTTTAGCTTGATTGGATCTAGACGTGTAGGATGAGCGAACACAGTTTCATTCTCATCTGTTAGACGGATGCTGTGTTTGACATTGTGTTTGACTTCCGGAGTTAATTTGGTTCTAGTGATCGAGGGGAATTTAGACAATAATTCTCTCACTCGTGGATCAATATCTTGATTGATTGTTGATACTCCGTATATGTCTGTTGATTTAGTATATGCTTTGACTGTCCTTTGATTGTCAGGGTCAATTAGCAATTTGTTTTTGAGATCTGGAAGTAGATGGAAATGTGATAGAAAGTCTGCGCCTATGATTGGATATCCAGATTCAGCAATGATGAATGTGTATGTGAAAGGTTGACCAAAACCAAGGTCTATGGTTATTCTTTCTAAACCATAAGCCGTAATTCGGGTACCATTGTGAGCGAATAATTGAAAATTGCAACGTTGTGACTTTTTGTTATTGTTGTTGAACACGTTCAGGTATTTTGATGATGTTGGCCATATTGATACATCTGAACCAGTGTCAATCAGAATATGTTTTCCGGATGATTTATCTACAATGAAAAGTCTGTGATGATTATTGGAAACGTTGTTGTACATTTGTGAGACAATTTTATTGACATATGAATTGAATGATAAGGAATTCCTGTTATGATTGTTGTGATTAATTGAATGATTTTGATTATTGTTGTGACTGTTGTCTACATGATTATGATTATTGTTATTGTTGGTGTGTGAATGATGATCATCGTTGTGATTATTGATATTTGAATTTGATTGATTGTTTGAATGAATGGCGCTGATTATTGATTGCCTTTGATTAGGAACCGATCTAGGACTTCTAATCGGTTCAACTAGTTTGTTTGATTCGCTGCTGTTGTTGTTGTTGATGAAGGCTGTTGTTGTTGTTGAGATGGATTTGGTGATTGACTACGACTTTGTGTGTTGGAACGTGGATTGTTGAATCGATTTGATTGATTGTTTGATTGGTTTGACCGATTGGATCGACTTAAGAATGTGCACGATTGCGGTCTGCCACATCTGTTTGCTCGATTACCATATAAGAAATGGTTACGGCAGTATGGTCCATCATCTCGAAACGCTTGGCGCTTGCGGATGTTTCTGCTATTGGGGTTGTTGTTGTTGTTGCTGGTACTTGCGGTTCGAGAGCGTGAGATCGCAGAAACCTGATGATTGTTGGTGGTGGTACCATACTTTTCAATCAGTGAATCAGCCATATGTACGATACCTGCAATACTTTGTAACACTTGTGGATCATTGGGATTCTCAGTTAGTTGGCGTTCAATCGGAACGATGACGTGGTGAATCGATAATCCAATGTCCTTGGGTAGTAGCTTCTCCCAAAAGGCAAGAAGTTGTACGATTGTGAAAACGTTTTTACCCATGTTTAACAACCATGACCAGGCCACAGATGGTTTTTGATTTTCCAAGTCTTTGCGACTGAGGATCCGATCTCGACGAATTGTTTCGGAAAGTTCGTATTCACGAATGATCAAATCTTTTAATGAGGCCAGTTTACCATCGGTGTAATCGATGAGATCCAATTTGTGTTTAAGATTATCACGAATGGTTTTCGGCAATTGAGATACAATTTTGAAAAATTGATCCTTTTCATCGTTGACGTGTGCCGCATTAAAACAAGCTGACACCGCTTCGAGCCATCCACGTGGATCTGTATCAATGAATGGGGGCATATCGATGTTCGTAGCTGGTCGTGATCTGCGCTCGTTTCTCATGTCAGTGACCATGGCTTGCAGTGTATCACGATCTTTTTTCATTTCGATCATCATCGAATGCATTGATTGGAGCAATGATGCAACCAGTGCTGGGTCGACTTGGTTTGCCTGCTCGCCAGTTTCAGACATCAATGTGTCATTGGCATTGTCGTTGTTCGAATCCATCTTGAAAAAAAAAAACACTTTTTTATAATTCGATGTAAGGACGGGTCACCAAAATATGTCGTGATGTCGACAAGTTATTGAATCGAATTTGAATTTTATTTGGAACGAAAATCACTGTGTGTGTTCGTGTGTCTGTGTTCAATTGTATGCTGACTCGGAATTTTCGGTTGGAAACATGCTCGTTTCTCTCACCGACATTCTCGGTCGAAATAGGAAGAGGTGGCAATAGGCAGGAGCGTGCGCAGCCAGTTGACTGCTACAATATATATATATTCTAATGCTGATTATTCTTTGTTGTTGGAACATTCCAAAACATTATGGAATTTTTTCGTATCCCCTTTTTCATTAAAATTTTGTTTTCTCTTTTCCTGTGAAATGCCCGGCCGCCTGCCTATCCCAGTGGATTGATTGCCGTTATTGTTGCTATAAGCTCGGTTCTCAGACCTCATAAGGATGATTTTTTTCTTTTTTTTTTGTCATTCATTATTTAATTCAAGAAGCAAGTTGATTCTATTGAATGTGAATGAAATAAATGAAATTTACTTGGCATAAGAGGCTCTTTTTTTTTTTTTTTTTTTTTTTTGGTGAAATTCGGAAAAAAGATGGTGTGTGTATGGTGTTAATTTAATTTTGTTTTTCCGTTTTGCATCCACTACAACAACAATGAGCATATTTTACCCGGCACAATATTAGAATGATGATGGTAGTTGTAATATTGGTTGTTTTACCGACAAAAAAAAATGTGATAATTAATAATAGTTTTTTTTTGTCAAATCAGGTTTGACTCACCAACAAGAATAGCAGTTAGAAAAAAATATGACAAGAAGAAAAAATTGACAAAATGCCAGACATTTTTCCAGAAACTTTTCTCTCTCAAGAACTTATCAGAATCATCACCAAACAACATGACGAGCTGGAGAAGACGAAGAAAATTTGTCATTACTAATTTCCGACAAGGCCATTTTTTAAAACAATTTAAACCAGGGAATATTATCCGGAAAAACAAAAATTTTTCTCTCTGCTTATTATTGCTTTGATCTTTGCAGGCCACAACCAAACAAAAAAAAATAGAAAAAAACTAAACGAAAGTTAACTAAAAAAAAAAACGTCACATGCAATTCCATAATGATAACACACAAGTCCATATGGTGCCAGTGAATGAGTGAAAGTGAAAAACATCCAAACAAACAACCAAACCAGTTAAAACATCAAGCAGCAGCCTATTTTCTCTCACCACATTAATATACACATCTAAATTGGAATTTTGGCAAGAAACGAAAATGAAAAAAAAAAAAAACAGAAACCAGATGTTACCTCTCTATCTCTCTATACAAACATATACACACCATATATACAATTATCGTTTTGAAATAATATATAATGATTATCATCATCATCATCATTACAATAGTTAAACTATAACAAAAAAAAAAAAGAATTATCATACATGAAGAACATTGACATTAAGTGTTTAAACTTTGTTAAAACGAATTAATTCCTATTTTTTTTTTGTTTGGTAATGGTGTGTGCGTGTCTGTAGGGGGCTCATCATCTTCATCTAATTTGAATTTATCCCATTCATTGTATGTGTGTGTGGATGCTTTGTCTATTTTCTCTTAATAAAATTTCATTTCATATATGCAAATAATCATCATCATCATTATACAAAGAATTCATTAAATATTGGACGATTATCAGTAATGAGATGACAATAATTATTATTACTTAAAAATAATAAGTGGTGGAACACACACACACACACACACACAGGATTTAGAATGAAGAGAAAAAAAAGTTGACAAAAATTTAAAAAACTATGGGAGGATATTTCAAATAAAAACCACCCAAATTTATTCAAATGACAACAATGAAAGTGTTAAATATTTCAATTTTGGTTTCAATTGAAGCGTGATTGACATTTGTATCTGTGTGTGTGTGTGCGTTGTTTTCCAATAAAATGTTCTGAAAGTTTTTCTGATTAAATTTTTTTTATAGCAAACAAAAAAAATTGAAAAGGTTTTCACGTTTTCTCATTTTTAGCTGGTTTAGACATTACTCTCTCTCTCTCTCTTTTCTGCTATCGATTCTCGGGTTTCGCGACAAAAAAAAAACGTTATAAAAATTAAAAAAAAAGTTTGCCAATCTCACTTGGTCTTGTTTGTCACCATCACAAAATGGAATAATAATAATAATAATAAAAACCAGGGGCCAACAAAAAAAAGTTTCCGATGAAAAACAAAAAAGTCTTTGAAAAGAAACTCTAAAGAATATATTCGTCCTCAAGCTGAAAGTTGCAACTCACAACACCATCACCTTTAGCAATTCCAAAAAACGAGAGAGAGAGAGAGAATCACTGAAAGAATTATAATAACAAATGAATCTTTTTGTATACTTGTGTTAACAAAACCTCAACAACAACCAATGTTATGTATGTGTATGTGTTAACAAAATGAAAAGATGCTGGAAAAAAAAAATTTTTTTTTTCCAGCAAACATCAAATATTTTCCGAAAATTGTTTGCACAATTTTCCACTTTATATACATAATATATACAAACACATTTTCTTTGTTGAAATTTTATTCGAATTTTTTTTTCAATATTTATTCTACAACAGCTCATTTCCGACTGTATATTATATATAACATATATTTGACTGGCAAAAAAAAATAATGGATCAAATCCAAAACAATGGTAGATAAATAAATCCAAAATCTAAACACAATCTCCATTGGCTTTGTACAAAAAAAAAATCAACATAAGCTCCAAACCATTACTATAGTATAATAATAATGGTGAAGAAAGGTGAAAATATAAATTTTCAATTTAAAATTTCTGTTTTATATGTTTGTTATATATATATAACATGTTGATATGATGATGGCAATTTGTTATGATTAGAAAAGAAAATAAAACCAAAAATGAAAATTTATTTGGATATATATGGCTATAATCCAATGGACGAGTATCATCTATTTTCAACAGACACTATTTATTTGCTTACCAAAAGTGTTGACAAGTAATAATGGCTAATAAATTTAATTAGTTTTTATATTTGAAATATTGAAAACATCATCATCATCATCATCACCATCACCACACCATTTGGCAGAATCTTATTTTATATTCTAAAATGACAAACACAAATAACTAAAATAACAAAACAAGTTGCAAGTTTTGAGTTTTTTTTTTAGTTTCAAACAAACCAGCAAAGAAAAAAAAAGTAATTGAAACTTTTTTCTCTTTCTATCTCATGGTGATGATTTACACAAAATGATGATGATTGAAAAACCGACTTGATTATAAATTATTTGTTTCCACTACTTATTCATTCACTAGATATCGGTATTTTTTTTTTTTTTTTTTGCAGTTTTATTGAAAACTTGCAAACACAAACACAGATATATAAAGTTTAAGTGCGTGTAAGTGCTATGCTATGTGAATAAACTATAAAGCAAACTCAACATAAAAAAAAGCATGAAACAAAATTCTAGACAAAAAAAACACTGTAAATGAAAATCATAACTATAGATACACTGTGTTACGTGGATCACACACACACAATCAAATCAAATCGTCAAGAAAAAATAACAAAATTGTCCAAAAAAAAAATCCTAAAAAACTAAACTTAAACTCTTTCTAGTCACTCACACACACACACACACACACACTAAGCCCTTTAAATATGGATATAAAAAAAACTGGTAAGCAATCCAAAAACAACTTGAAAAAAAAAAAAAAATATTATACAAAAAAAAACTTTGATAATAAAAAAAGGCTTTTCAAGAAATATATCCATTTTATTCATTCAGAAAGGAATATCTCTTTGATGTGTATGTGTGGTGACACATTTATTTATTCTATATTTCAACTTGAGAAGAAAAAAAAATTTCTATCACATTTCAAGGAATGTAAATGAAAAAAATTCTGGACATTTTTTCTTGTTTGTTTGTTTGTTTGTTGTGGTTCATTGGCCATTGGTGATCATCATCATCATCATTATATTATGTTTAAGATGATGATGGAATGGCCAATAGTGGAGAATGTGTGTGTGTGTGTGTGTGTGTGTGGATATTATTGTTAAGAAAAATCATGATGATGTGAATGATGAATGGATGGAATGGAATTTTCAATGAATACAGTGTAGGTGTGTATGAATAATAACCAAACACACATACAAATACACAAATAAATAAATAAACAAAGTAAAAATGAAGAAAAAAAAACTTTCCTACTGTACAACAACACTATAGTATAAATATATGGGTTTTGAATTTCAAATTTTTTTTTTGAATTTTTCTTTCTGTTGAAAGCAGAAAGAAAAAATTTACGAAATTCCAACGACGATCAGTATACTATGTGGTGGACTGTATTTTTTTTTTCTGAATAGAATTTTTCAACAAAATGAATTCATTTGAAATTCCTTTTTTATTTGTAGCAGCCGACCATTGTGACGATAAAGAAGGATGTGCTATGTTTTTTTTTCGATTCAAATGGTTCGTTCATATAGTAATATAACGTATGTTGAAAATTGTGAAGAGAAAAAAAAATAAAACAAACAATTTCCGTTCAAATGTCAAATATGTCTGTACGGTCTTGTTATCTGTATCATGTTTGTGGAAATTTTCGGTTTGGTTTTTCTCGTTTTTGGTTCGGTTTTCCGTGGAACAACCATCAAATACGATTTCCTTTTTCAAGATTCAGAAACATTTTTTCTACATTCGCTATATGGTTATTGTTGTCGTCATGGAAAAAAATTGTTTAGCATCATCATCATCATCCTCAGATGTTAGCCATCTTCATAACCGAACCGGAAACGGGTAACATTTTAACCATATTCACCAATCAGAGAAAAAAAAACTAACCAAACGATTTTTTTTCCATGACGACTGTTGTTCTCCGGAATTCAATTGTCCGTATCGTATTTCCGGCCGTTGATGATATAGTCATATATATATCATCATTAAACAAAATAGTCATACAATTTCCGAGTGGATACCAAAACTGGTGACATTTTTCCAAGCATGAAAAAAGATATGATATTTCGGGGAAAAAAAGAAAATGTACAAAAAAAAAGAAGAAAATAAAGTTTCAAATGTTGTGTTAATTGTTTTTTTTCTTTTTTTTGTGTTTTCATTTCCATTTTTTCTTATTATGGTCCAAAAATACATACATTAATTTCTGGTTCTTTCATATAATTATAATAATTATGGTTATGTGTGTGTGTGTGTGTGTGTGTTGTCCCCTTTAACCATACGTTTATACCGGGACAAATAATAATAAT